TCATTTTTATAGATTATAATTCAGGATAAGCTTGAATGTTTGTATATTAATTGATGCTCATTATTAAAACAGGGAAGATGTCTATTATACATTGCTATAAATATATACACAATACAGTGTTTCTTCCAGGCGTCTCTTCGGGAGGGCTCCACCCCCCGCCCCACCTCCCAAAGAAAGTCTACCGCCCCCCCCCCCCCAAACGAAATGGAATTTATATAGAAAACATATACTTTTAACAATGTCCGCCCTCGCCCTCCCCGTAAATATCAAGTGCGCCCCCCCCCCCCGTAGAATGGGTGCTCTGCCTCCCTACCAAGACATCCCATGCACTATAAAGTGCAAAAGTTAAACAAATACCCATTAACCATCAATAGGGGTATGTCCTATTTTCTATTACAAGGTTAAATACTCACTACCCCTTAAGAAGTCAAAAACCCCACTACCCACCAACAGGTCAAAACCCCACTACCCACCAACAGGTCGAAACCCTACTATCCCCCCCCACCCCCACCACCACCAACAGGTCAAAACCCCATTACCCCCCCCCTCACCACCACCACCCTCCACCACCAGCAGGCCAAAACGCCATTACCCCCCTCCCCCCACCACCAACAGGTCAAAACCCCATTACCCCCCCCCCCACCACCAAAAGGTCAAAACCCCATCACCCCCCCCCCTCACCACCACCACCCTCCACCACCAGCAGGCCAAAACGCCATTACCCCCTCCCCCCACCACCAACAGGTCAAAACCCCATTACCCCTCCCCCCACCACCAAAAGGTCAAAACCCCATCACCCCTCCCCCCTCACCACCACCACCCTCCACCACCAGCAGGCCAAAACGCCATTACCCCCCTCCCCCCACCACCAACAGGTCAAAACCCCATTACCCCCCCCCCCCATCAACAAAAGGTCAAAACCCCATTACCCCCCCCCCCCCATCACCACCACCACCACCAGCAGGTCAAAACCCCATTACCCCCTCCCACCCCACCACCAACAGGTGAACACCCCACTACCCACCAACAGGCCAAAACCCCATTACCCCCCCCCCCCCCCCCACCACCACCCCACCACCAGCAGGTCAAAACCCCATTACCCCCCCCCCCCCCCACCACCACCCCACCTACCCACCAACAGTTCAAAACCCCATTACCCCCCCCCCCCCCACCACCACCACCAGGTAAAAACCCCATTACCCCCCTCCCCCTACCACCAACAGGTAAAAACCCCATTACCCCCCCTCCCCCACTCCACCACCAACAGGTCAAAACCCCACCTACCCACCATCAGGTGAACACCCCACTGTACAGCATCAGGTCAAACTTCCGCAATACGAACCAGCCCCTACGCTCACACCGGAGATAATTGAGCTCACAATCATCCCCACCCATAGCTCGAGGTGCATACTCCACTTCCTCCCAATTTCCTAGTGGCCAGATAAATTTTTCCCCAGTTTGACAAGAAAAGTGACGTTTCCTGTTAAATTTTCCAACAAAACGAGAACGGCATGTCAGATTGTACGTTCTCTGGTTTGTCTCTTGAGATGCGCAAAGTAAACTCAGATCGAGCTGGGTCATTAGCATAATCAGGAAGGTAAATTTTTATGATATGAATTTTTATGATATGAATTTTTACGATATGAATTTTTATGGTTGAATTTTATGCTGGAATTTTATTTTAGGTTAAGTATAACCACACATAGATAAACATGGTAGAATAGAGATCATCAATGAGATAACTCAAATATAACAATACAATGACGCATGCTAAACATTCGGAATAGATTCAATGACTACATAACCATCACGAAAACACAAACAACCTACAACAGCAACCACACAATCATCATACACACGGCAGCAATCATACAGTCAGGAATATTAGACACAACTAACTTAACCGCTAACACCTAACAGTGTCTTGATACAATCTCACAATAACAATCACAAAATCACCACCAACAACAAACAAACAACATAACTAATCACAACAGACACACCTCCGACTTATTGAAATACACTTAACTCCCACAAGCAACATACACGCAGAGACTAAACCACTCATAAAACATCCATCACCCACACAATTATCCAGTCACTTACCCACACACAACCACATCACCACACTAGTACAGTCACACTGCCTGCAAAACTAACCACAATACCAAACAACAACAAAGATAAACCAACATCATCCTTGATTATACCCACACAATCACCATCACCAGCCACCAACCACTACTACCAGGGACCACCAACACCAGAACAAACACTAAACACTCCACCACCATCACTAACCACCACCATATACAACAACCGTCCACCATCACAAAAATTAGTACCCACACAACTACCAAAACCTAGTACAAACAACCCCCCAGAACACCCCCCACCAAACCCCTCCAACCACCAAACACCATCACCTTTGTCCCCTGCCCAAGGTCTGCTCACAACTTCCCCCCTCCCACAACTCCCACCCCCCCCCCCACAACTCCCACCCCCCCTCCCACCAACCACCTAACACCATCACCTATGTCCCCTGCCCAAGGTCCACACAACCTCTCCCCCCCCCCCCCACAACTCCCACCCCCCCTCCCACCAACCACCTAACACCATCACCTATGTCCCCTGCCCAAGGTCCACACAACCTCTCCCCCCCCCCCACAACTCCCACCCCCCCTCCCACCAACCACCTAACACCATCACCTATGTCCCCTGCCCAAGGTCTGAACACAAAACTCGGCCCGCTGCCAGATTTGGGTGGCTGTGATCAATTTACCCGACCAGTTTATTAAATTGCTGGAATTGGAGTCGTCTGCTCGGGAACCTGACGACACGTTCGCCCCACCGTCCCAGCGGCGCGAGGGTCAGCACAAAGTTTGGCCTGGTGGTCACCGGTTTACTGGGGGAGCAAATATTTGTAGTACATTGACCGGAGGGGGTGGGGCAGCCCCGGGCAACTCTTTTAAAACTTACAGAGGATTTATATACAAGGTAGATTGACCGGAAGGGTTGTCAGCCCAGGGCGGGACATTTAAAACTTACAGAAGGATTTACACACACACACACACACATACACACACACACACACACACATATATATATATGTATATATATATATATATATATATATATATATATATATATATATATATATATATATATATATATATATATATATATATACATCAATATATATATAAAAATATTTATATATATATGTTCCATATGTACGTGTATGTGTTTATCTGTGTGTTTTTTCTTTGAGAAATATATTGATACTGAATTTGAATTTTTTTTTTTTTTTTAAAGCTGTACTGTATAATGGGTTTAAATCCATTTCATGTCAGTTCTCCTATTACACAATTAACATGTGCATTTTGAACTATTTTCATCTTTCCTGTTGTCTCGAAGGTATTGGAACTTTCAGACTTCAGGAAATGGACATAATCCGAAACACAAGCGAATCCTGAGATACACATTATCATTCCATATCGGCTAGCACAGAAAAAAATTGTTTTCATATCGATTCGCAATCTTTTAAAAAAACATAACATCTAATTCTCCCTAGCATAGATTTTCTCTCCTCTAATCCACAAATATAGAAAGCGTAGAACTTGATACAATGTCAGAATAACCCATTAATAAATTAGTAGTTTACAAGGATGTGCTAATTTTTTTTATTGATTTATACCTGGTATTTTGTTACACTACACAGCTTAACGTGCGATTTTACTTGAGATTCGTCATTATAAAAACTACGAATTATGTCTTATAATAAAAGTACAGTACAGTCTTGATATTACGATGCAGTTAGTTGTTATTGTATTTACTAACACAGTAAACTAGAAAATTATTTATGTAAAGGCTTATAAAGTTTTTTTGTTGTTTTTTTTTCAAAAATTGTGAAAAACATTTATTTACAAAAAAGGTAATCTTCAAATATTCTACTCTGTTTTTTATTGTAACAATGGGGGAGATCAAACATCTAGTCCAAGTCCCTGTTTTTTACCCTACAACATAATTAAGTATTGCGTGCCAACATGGTATGCGTCATATGGCTCGTTAGCTCCGACTAGCCTACTTTTAGTTTGGATTTGCGTCCCTAGCCTTAGCTGCCATCAACATCACCGTCAAGACAGCAGTTGTTTGATTGTGTAGGGTACTCTCACTGATTGGTTCATATCTACAGTTGACATAAGCAGAGTTACTGTCATAGATTGATTCTTGTCTATATTAGACGCACCCTATCTTTCAAGCGGCGGATCTTGAACTACACTACAAACCTAGGGGACAACATCTTTGTTATATTCCAACGTTTTCATTAGTAAAATAATGTATCGTATTTTATTACTAGTACAGAAATTTGTTAGCGGGATTATTTTTTCACATATTTTTCACATACATTTTTTTCCTTTACCAAGTCGTTATCTTCTTAGTAAAAAAAAAGCCACCGAAGAAGAAAAAAACTTTCTTGTTTGGGATACTCTTAGCATACATGATCTTTGAGAGTAATCAAAGTAGACAGACCACACTAGTGAGACTATTGAAGTCGGTCTGTATAGAAGCAGACGAGAGGTAGACGTACACGATGATATAGATCTATAGCCAGAAACATTTTTACAAAAACAAGCCGATCTGAAAAAGAAACCTCACGCATCAGGTCAGGGGATATCACTCACAGACAGGGGAAGATAAATAACGTCTCGCTTTGTCTTCTCTCCCCTTGAAGACCCGCCACCAAAATAGCTGGACGTCATACCTCATGGGACGTAATCAGCCAGCGACTTACGAATTTGTTCTCTCCCCTAGAGTCGCCACTGGTCATTAGAAGGGGAGCTCAATCTTCTTGCTTGCTTTTTTTGGTCATGGTTTGCTAGTCAAGTCTCTAGCCAGTAGACAATGGTCTAATCCAGATCGAGGCTTGGATTACTGAATGGGGTACTGGACGATAAGCGAAGAACTACTACAGTGTGAAGTAGTGGTAATCTCTAGCATTATAAGACTTGACTGAACACATTGGGACACGGCTGGCCAATATTAGGTAATGGCTGGCCAATATTAGGTAATGGCTGGCCAATATTAGGTAATGGCTGGCCAATATTAAGTAATGGCTGGCCAATATTGGGTAATGGCTGGCCAATATTAGGTAATGGCTGGCCAATATTAGGTGATGGCTGGCCAATATTAGGTGATGGCTGGCCAATATTAAGTGATGGCTGGACAATATTAGGTAATGGCTGGCCAATATTAGGTGATGGCTGGCCAATATTAGGTGATGGCTGGCCAATATTAAGTGATGGCTGGCCAATATTAGGTAATGGCTGGCCAATATTAAGTAATGGCTGGCCAATATTGGGTAATGGCTGGCCAATATTAGGTAATGGCTGGCCAATATTTAGACATGGCTGGCCAATATTTGGACATGGCTGGCCAATATTAGGTAATGGCTGGCCAATATTAGGTAATGGCTGGCCAATATTAGGTAATGGCTGGTCAATATTAGGTAAGGGCTGGCCAATATTAGGTAATGGCTGGCCAATATTAGGTAATGGCTGGCCAATATTAGGTGATGGCTGGCCAATATTAAGTGATGGCTGGACAATATTAGGTAATGGCTGGCCAATATTAGGTGATGGCTGGCCAATATTAGGTGATGGCTGGCCAATATTAAGTGATGGCTGGCCAATATTAGGTAATGGCTGGCCAATATTAGGTAATGGCTGGCCAATATTAGGTAATGGCTGGCCAATATTAGGTAATGGCTGGTCAATATTAGGTAATGGCTGGCCAATATTAGGTAATGGCTGGCCAATATTAGGTAATGGCTGGCCAATATTAGGTAATGGCTGGCCAAGATTAAAACATGGCTGGCCAATATTAGGTAATGGCTGGATAAGATTAGAACATGGCTGGCCACTATATTATAAAATGGCCAACATTAAAAAATGAATGGCCAATATTTGAACATGGCTGACAAACATACATGACTGGCCTACACTAAGACATGACCGACGAATATCAGAACGTATTTGACAAACACGGCCAACTTGCGACCATTACGAATCAACTAACCAGACCCCCTTATCGCATATATTAGCGGCTTTAGGCAACAGGAATCTGTGCGATCAACATTGAATCAAGAATGAGCCTAACATTACAAGCAAACAACAGACAGCTCTATGCGCTCGTGTTCTTCAGATAGCCTCAGTTTGATCTCCCCCATTTTTATGCCACGCCTCAAATTACGACAGAGCTTTTTAAAAGTTAATAAGGATTGTTTTTGAATGCATTAGAACACGCATAAAAACTCGAAAAAAAATGTTTATTATTTTGTGAAATGAATGTTAAAAGAAGAAAGATTAAAGAGTTCAAATGAAGTTTGCAAGTTTTTTTTGGTGTTTTCCAAGATCCAATTACAATTTTATTTGGCCTGTAATATTGCGTGGAGATGTTTTTACATCAGACAAAGAGATGCGTGGAGCTGAAGGTGTCTGGCTCCGGATGACCTACACAGGGCTGGGAGAGTGGAGGTTTAGCTCTACTGGACACTGGCTTGAGGTCAAGTGATGTTACTGGACATTGACGAGAATTTTTTTAAAGGCCATCGAAATAAGTAAGAAGAATATTTTTTCTGGTTATCGTATAGATAATGGAAGTACATAAAACGAAGGTAATCCGATAAGTTGGCTAAAAAAACTTAATTGCAAACGTATGCAGATCGTCATTAAATTCATAAAACTAAACATTTACAGATCATCGTCAACTACCGCTTTTAAAACCGAAGCTACAACCTCATAACTGAAGCGAAAAAGTTATACCTGAAGCCAAAACGCTATACCTGAAGCCAGAAAGTTAAACCTGAAGTGAAAAAATTAAACCCAAAGCCAAATTTTTATACCTTCAAACCAAAACGACGTTATTATTGAAACCAAAACGTAATACCTGTAACCAAAAAAAAAGTTACAATGGAAGCTAAAAGTTATACATAGAGCGAACACGTTACACCTGAAGCCACAACCTTATACCTGACGCTACCATCTCGTACACCAAACCTAACCAACCTACACCAGTCCGACGACATTCCTCACTACACAAATCGGTAACCACCTCACTTTCTGCATTGATGTCACTACATGTCTTTTCTCTCACTGAACAACCCCCCTTCTCAACTTTTTCTATCAAATCTCCCCAATCGTTCCCCCTGTTCGCTCAACAATCCCCCTCACTCCTACCTCAACATTCTCCATCAAATCTCCCCAAAATGTCCATATTCTCCCCATTCTACCGAGAAATTAAACAGATGTCACAACATTGTTTCTCCTGTTCACTCAACAATCTCCCTCCCACCTACCCCAACATTCTCCATCAAATCTCCCCAAAATGTTCATATTCTCTCCACCCCACCCCCTCATTCTACCAAGACTTCACCAGATGTCACAACATCGTTTCTCATGGTCCAACATCACACGATACGCTCCACAAATCTCCCAACTACATTTCACAATTCACATACACAAAATTACTCATCCAACAGTTCCATAAGATGTCCCCCATCTCCTCCCCTCCCCCAACATAGTCCAACAAGATGCCCCCCCCCCATCTCCTCCCCTCCCCCAACATAGTCCTACAAGATGCCCCCATCTCCTCCCCTCCCCCAACATAGTCCTACAAGATGTCCCCCCACCTGCTTCCCACCCCCAACATAGTCCACCAAGATGCCCCCCCATTTCCTCCCCTCCCCCAACAGTCCCACAAGATGTCCCCCATCTCCTCCCCCCCCTAACAGTCCAACAAGATGTCCCCCCCATCTCTCCCCCTCCCCCAACATAGTCCAACAAGATGTCCCCCCATCTCTTCCCCTCCCCCCCCCAACATAGTCAAACAAGATGTCCCCCATCTCCTCCCCCCCCCTAACAGTCGACCAAGATGTCCCCCCATCTCTCCCCCTCCCCCAACATAGTCCAACAAGATGTCCCCCCATCTCCTCCCCCCCCCAATAGTCCTACAAGATGTCCCCCCCATCTCTTCCCCTCCCCCGCCCCAACAGTCCAACAAGATGTCCCCCCCATCTCTTCCCCTCCCCCCCTCCAACATAGTCCAACAAGATGTCCCCCCATCTCCTCCCCCCCCCAATAGTCCTACAAGATGTCCCCCCATCTCCCCCCCCAACAGTCCAACAAGAAGTCCCCCCATCTCCCCCCCCCCCCAACAGTCCAACAAGATGTCCCCCCATCTCTCCCCCTCCCCCAACATAGTCCCACAAGATGTCCCCCCATCTCCTCCCCCCCCCAATAGTCCTACAAGATGTCCCCCTCATCTCTCCCCCTCCCCCAACATAGTCCCACAAGATGTCCCCCCCATCTCCTCCCCCCCCTAACAGTCCAACAAGATGTCCCCCCCATCTCTTCCCCTCCCCCCCCCAACAGTCCAACAAGATGTCCCCTCATCTCTCCCCCTCCCCCAACATAGTCCCACAAGATGTCCCCCCCATCTCCTCCCCCCCCCCCTAACAGTCCAACAAGATGTCCCCCCCATCTCTCCCCCTCCCCCAACATAGTCCAACAAGATGTCCCCCCATCTCCTCCCCCCCCAATAGTCCTACAAGATGTCCCCCCATCTCCCCCCCCAACAGTCCAACAAGAAGTCCCCCCATCTCCCCCCCCCCCCAACAGTCCAACAAGATGTCCCCCCATCTCTCCCCCTCCCCCAACATAGTCCCACAAGATGTCCCCCCATCTCCCCCCCCCCCCAACAGTCCAACAAGATTTCTCCCATCTCCTCCCCCCCAACAGTCCAACAAGATGTCCCCCCATCTCTCCCCCTCCCCCAACATAGTCCCACAAGATGTCCCCCCATCTCCTCCCCCCCCCCCAACAGTCCAACAAGATGTCCCCCCATCTCCTCCCCCTCCCCGAACATAGTCCCACAAGATGTCCCCAATCTCCCCCCCCCCCAACAGTCCAACAAGATGTCCCCCCATCTCCTCCCCCCCCCCCCCCCAACAGTCCAACAAGATGTCCCCCCATCTCCTCCCCCTCCCCCAACATAGTCCCACAAGATGTCCCCCATCTCTCCCCCTCCCCCAACATAGTCCCAAAAGATGTCCCCCCCATCTCCTCCCCCCCCCCCAACAGTCCAACAAGATGTCCCCCCATCTCCTCCCCCCCCACAAACAGTCCAACAAGATGTCCCCCATCTCCTCCCCCCCAACAGTCCAACAAGATGTCCCCCCATCTCCTCCCCCCCCCCAACAGTCCAACAAGATGTCCCCCCATCTCCTCCCCCTCCCCCAACATAGTCCCACAAGATGTCCCCCATCTCTCCCCCTCCCCCAACAAAGTCCCACAAGATGTCCCCCCCATCTCCTCCCCCCCCCAACAGTCCAACAAGATGTCCCCCCATCTCCTCTCCCTCCCCCAACATAGTCCCACAAGATGTCCCCCATCTCCTCCTCCCCCCAACAGTCCAACAAGATGTCCCCCCATCTCCTCCCCCCCCCAACATAGTCCCACAAGATGTCCCCCATCTCCCCCCCCCCAACAGTCCAAAAAGATGTCCCCCCATCTCCTCCCCCCCCCCCCAACAGTCCAACAAGATGTCCCCCCATCTCCTCCCCCTCCCCCAACATAGTGCCACAAGATGTCCCCCATCTCCCCCCCCCCAACAGTCCAACAAGATGTCCCCTCATCTCTCCCCCTCCCCCAACATAGTCCCACAAGATGTCCCCCATCTCCTCCCCCTCCCCCAACATAGTCCCACAAGATGTCCCCCCATCTCCTCCCCCCCCCCCCAACAGTCCAACAAGATGTCCCCCCATCTCCTCCCCCTCCCCCAACATAGTGCCACAAGATGTCCCCCATCTCTCCCCCTCCCCCAACATAGTCCAACAAGATGTCCCCTCATCTCCTCCCCCCCCCCAACAGTCCAACAAGATTTCCCCCCCCCTCATCTCTCTCCCTCCCCCAACATAGTCCCACAAGATGTCCCCCCATCTCCTCCCCCCCCCAACATAGTGCCACAAGATGTCCCCCATCTCTCCCCCTCCCCCAACATAGTCCCACAAGATGTCCCCCATCTCCTCCCCCCCCCCAACAGTCCAACAAGATTTCCCCCCCCTCATCTCTCTCCCTCCCCCAACATAGTCCCACAAGATGTCCCCCCATCTCCTCCCCCCCCCAACAGTCCAACAAGATGTCCCCCCATCTCCTCCCCCTCCCCCAACATAGTCCCACAAGATGTCCCCCATCTCTCCCCCTCCACCAACAGTCCAACAAGATGTCCCCCCCATCTCTCCCCCTCCCCCAACATAGTCCCACAAGATGTCCCCCCCCCATCTCCTCCCCCCCAACAGTCCAACAAGATGTCCCCCCATCTCCTCCCCCTCCCCCAACATAGTCCCACAAGATGTCCCCCATCTCCCCCCCAACAGTCCAACAAGATATCCCCCATCTCCTCCCCCCCCCCAACAGTCCAACAAGATGTCCCCCATCTCCTCCCCCTCCCCCAACATAGTCCCACAAGATGTCCCCCATCTCCCCCCCAACAGTCCAACAAGATGTCCCCCCATCTCCTCCCCCTCCCCCAACATAGTCCCACAAGATGTCCCCCATCTCCCCCCCAACAGTCCAACAAGATGTCCCCTCATCTCTCCCCCTCCCCCAACAAAGTCCCACAAGATGTCCCCCCCCCATCTCCCCCCCCCCCAACAGTCCAACAAGATGTCCCCCATCTCCTCCCCCCCAACATAGTCCCACAAGATGTCCCCCCCATCTCCCCCCCCAACAGTCCAACAAGATGTCCCCCATCTCCTCCCCCCCCCCCCAACATAGTCCCACAAGATGTCCCCCATCTCCCCCCCCCAACAGTCCAAAAAGATGTCCCCCCATCTCCTCCCCCCCCCAACAGTCCAACAAGATGTCCCCACATCTCTCCCCCTCCCCCAACATAGTCAAACAAGATGTCCCCCCATCTCCTCCCCCCCCCCCCCCCAACAGTCCAACAAGATGTCCCCCCATCTCTCCCCCTCCCCCAACATAGTCCCACAAGATGTCCCCCCATCTCCTCCCCCCCCCCCCCCAACAGTCCAACAAGATGTCCCCCCATCTCTCCCCCTCCCCCAACATAGTCCCACAAGATGTCCCCCCATCTCCTCCCCCCCCCCCCCCAACAGTCCAACAAGATGTCCCCTCATCTCTCCCCCTCCCCCAACATAGTCCCACAAGA